AAAGCTCAGGGCTCCAGGATTATCTTCTGTAGCTCTGTCAATTGGCTTCTCTTTTGTTTGTTGAAGTGGGTCTGTGTCGCTTGTCTGCCTATTCCTCCATCTTACCAGAGCTAAATCTGCCCTTAATTATTTTCAAGGACAATGTGAAGTATTGCTTTGCCCTTTTAAAATCACTTCTCCACTTCCAGGAATGGAAAGGTCTCCTGACATACCATCTCTGCTCACAATCATAATGAATCATAGCTGTCCTTCCCAGAAGGTCCACAATTAACCCTTTCTCTTACACATACTTCTGTGGAATTTCTTCAGAGAACAACAACAACAAAAGACTACCTTTTAAAAATTGCTTTTCTGAGCTCCCTAGGATCCTGGCCTAAAGATTTTTTTCCACACAGAGATTGGACCTCCCCCCAGCTGTGGATTCAGAGGATTCAGTTAGGATGTACTGCTCCAACTCTGTCCCTTTGGAATCACCATCTCTTAAACGGCAATCCTATCTTCTCAGCTCCTCCCTTTGATTACACTTTTTCTGTTCTTTATTTTTACTTCAGTTGATTCCTCCATGTCTCTAGTTGCCCCAAAGAATTTGAGTGAGAAATCAAAATACATCTGTAAAAAGGGTGTGGAGGTAGCATACTCTGACCTCCTCTAACTTCACGAGGGGGAGAGAGAAGGATCAACTGTAACAGCACAAAGCTGCTTACCAAAAGGCAGAAATCAGATATGCTACATCCTCCAACCTTTTTACCAATTCTGAAACCAGCTGTCCCCTCCCACAGCACTCACTACTTCTCTGCTGGGTTTGACAGTTCATTGCAATGACCACACAGAACTCACAAACAATACTCTTGACCATGGGGTTTATTAAGTAAGCAACAGGCCACAATTCAGGTACAGGAATGCTTAGGCTACAATTCTTCAATCAGAACAGCTTCCCCTCTGTATGCCTGCGAGCAGCCTCTCTTTGGATCTCAGTCTGGTCTCTGCCCTGCTCGGGGAAGTGTTACAAAGCTGTTAGCTCTGCTGACAGGTGCACCCCACTCTGCCAGCAAACCTCCTGCCCAAAGGCACTCTGCTTTCTTGCTCAGTGAGCTGGCAAGTCCGTCACTCTGTCTCACACCAGTCTCTTGGTTCTGCTGCCTCTGGGGCTGTGTCTCACTCAGTACAGGGACCTGGTGTCTAAGGACACATTCCACTCTCTGCTCTTCTCTTCTGGATGGTAATGAGATCCCCCTTTCTGCCTCTGGGAGGGCTCATTTTTAAGTCTAGTGAGATGACAAAACTACCAATCCCCATTATATTAGGATATCAGGGTTCCGTATCCCTTATTTGCATGGTCCCACACCCATAAGGGCACTATATACTCTATTTACGTTATTAGCAAGCTATCCAATTCCCTTGGATATGGGCCACAAGCACCACACATTTATATAGTTCCACCCAGTCATCTGATGGGAGTCATAAAGACCATGGCTGGAAGAGCCCTACTAAGTGATTCATTGCACCACAAGATCAAAAGAGTCATAGCACTTTCTATAAGCTTCTGACAAGATAGGTCAACAAGTATAAATTTATTATATAATATATATACACTCTATTATGACATCATTGATTTAAAAACAAAAAAATATTTATCTGAGTTTCTGATTAGTTAATAAAATGCCCAACTTGCTGTACCTATACATCATAAAGAAGATGCCAGCTTTGTGGGTCTTGGAAGATCAATTCTCAATTTGTATTGATGAACATTATATACAGTGCACAGTATGAAAGTTTGTGTAGCTGTAAAGGAGTAAGATGAAACAGATCACTGGTTTAACACAATTAGATTTTTAAAAGAGAATGGGAATAGAAGAGGAAAGCTTCTGCAGTTAAGTTACAATAATGTCCTTTAAAATTAAGTAACTGTGGATTCCTATTCGTAATTATCACAAAGAAAATTGGGTTAAGACCTTTTCATTAAACTGCAGACCTGTTCAGCTTTTCCTGGGTCAGAAAGGAAAACATCTCACAGCTCTAAAACAAGGCACAGGGCGGAAGCACCAAGAAAGCTACAAGACCTTACCACAGCCCGCACATTTTACACTGGTCCCTAAGTGACAGCCCTACCAAAGGAAACAGGAATGTATTTGTTTCTCAAGTTTAATTCACTTTTGAACATGGTTAACCCAATCCAATTTCTTAGATTTAGCTTAGTGAACAGTGTTCTAGAACATGATGAGATTAGGCATTTCAATCAATAAGAAAAACAAAAAAGCAATCGTTAATTTAAAAGTACTACAACTTCACAGTTTATAGAGGCTAGAAACATAATTCCAATTTTCATAAAGGTATATTAACTTAAAACCACTTTAGGCCTTCAAGATCTCACTGACAGAGTTCATCTGAGGTGACAGTTTTGCTATTGTGTTACTGTTCCCACATGATGTCATCTTTTCTCAATTTCATTTGAAGATTATGGACTCGCTTTGGAGGAAAGGTGCTGTTTTTCTGAATAGGGCTAGTTTCATGAGAACATTTTCTAGGGCTATTTTTTATGTTCTTTGATCCTTTAAGGGTGCTGTCTTCTCGTTGAATACTTGAAGCTTTACTCATCTTTGAGTTTTGCAGCTTTTGTTGCAGTTTATGGACCTGGAGAGAACAAAAATCTAAAATTTTAGTCAACAATATACTAAAAATACAACCTAAAATGGATTGGATTGAAAGCTTAAAAATTATATATTATATAAAAAATATAATATATATTTACTAAATATTATAAATACTTGACCACAATAAAAGTAAAAAAAAAATTATATAAAAGTAAAAAGTTTAATTCAGTAAATTTTTATTTATTGAATAACTATTATATGTCCAACACAGTGCTAATCAGGTAGAAATATAATGAATAAAACAGTCCTGGCTTTCAAGGGGCTTGCTGATCTTAATAGTGAAGGAAAAAAGCATGTATGTGACAACCTGAGCATAAATAATTCAAGCCAGAAAACTTCAAGTAAGAAAAAAAGTATATATTTGAGAAAGCCAAAAATCACTGTAGGCTAGAGAAGCTGAGGGGAAGGTTTCATGGAGGTTATGAAATGGTAGAAACTAGACAGCAGAGAGGAAAAGAAGGACCTTTCAGATAACATTAGCAGTGAAGCTAAAGGATTGACTGTTGCTAGGAATGAGTATATATATCTTTATGTACTGAAAACATATTCTTGAATTTAGAGTACAGGCAGTCCTCAGGTTATGAACATTCGACTTACAGACAACTCATACTTGCTCTATAATGTTATGCAAATTTGCCTTCACAATGAAATGACTGAACCAACCTCTACTCCAAACAAATTCTTCATCATAATCACCTTTACTTGCTGCATGTGCAGCTTTTAAATCATGAAAAAGCCTTTAAGATTTTCTTGCACTAAAGTAACACTAATGAGAACCATATGCACCTGTTTGGACTTATCTACAAATTCAACTTAAAAAACCCACTTAGGAATGGATCTCATTCATAACCTGGGGACTGTCTATATTACTAAATAGCAGTAAAAAAAAAAAATTGGTTAAAGGGATAACTTGATTTCTTTGAGAGTATCTGGTAATAACTAGGTAGACTGAATTAAACAAAGCAAAACTCACCCACTAGCCAGAACTCATTTTTTCTTTTCTTTTTTAGTTGTCTTTTAATTAATTAATTAATTTATTATTTAGTTGTGATTTGGGTGAAGATTTACAGAGCAAATTCACTTTCCACAGCACAGAACTCATTTTTTTCAAAGGTCATCTCATTACCTAGTCTATTTCACAGTTACACACAGGGCTCTGGGAAAGGCCTAATTTATAGAGCTAGTCCAGACATTGGGTAAGTACCTGGTGCTCTGTTTGCCTAAGAGACAAATTTTATTACAGATATTAAATTTATCATGATAAAGTACTTGGAAATTTATCCTACAAGAGCTATTATGAAATATGAATCATGTTTTTCAAAGTATAATCTATGTACAGACTGCCTCAGGTTTAAAAATATGATTATTCTTCTATTCCTTACATGTTTCTCCAATGTAATTTCAAGAAAGTGTACAAGTGTATAATCTTCACCAAATACCATTATATAAAAAAAATATGACTTACGATAGCCTTAAAAGGAAGCTCTGGTGGCATAGTGCCTAAAGCATTTGACTGCTAACCAGAGGTTGGTGGTTCAAACCCACCAGCCACTCTATGGAAGGAAGAGCGGGCAATCTGCTTCCATAAACATTTACTGCCTCAGAAACTCGAAGGGAGTTGCTATGAGCTGAAGTCGACTCGATGGCATTGAGTTTGGTTTTTTTGGTGTACAGCCTTAAAAGCTAATAAACTAAAAATATTTGCTTCAAAATGTTTATTTATTTACTAGTCATAAAGGCTGTAAAATTCTGCATCATTTATTACTTTCCTGTGCAAGAAAGGGAGGCTTAATTAAGGTTAGTATATCACCAACTTATACAAGTGCTGATTATAGCCATAAGCAGAAAAGTTACATGAAGTGATGAAGATTCTTGAAAAGGCCTGCCCTGGACTCAAGCTATCAAGTCACTGACTTGGGATATTATATTACATAATTCTTCTGTTAAAGTGTTAAAACCTCTAAGCTATTCTTAGTTATTAAGTCTCTGCACACAAGCATAGAGTCTCCCTCCCCACTGCTGCCCCATTCACAGTAGCTAGCTGAGCACAGGTCCTAGGGAATAGAACACAGCACAGGCTATTTTGAGAAAGAAGGGATAGTGGTCTTAGGATTGGAATACTGCTTGAGGAGCCAGGTTTATGTATGGTACTAAATTAGAGACTTACAGTCATTAGTGGCATCATTAAGGCATTAGAGAAGGGAAGGAGAAACGAAAAGACTGCTGATCTCAATTTCCCCAAAGCCATCTCTGAACATGTAACTCATCTTTCTTGCTCCTTTTTCTTTCTGTTATCTTGCAGAATGCTGCAGGAGGCCCATGCAATTCCAAAGGGACAGACGGCTCTATTCTGTAACAGGTCTAAGTGACTACTGTCTATTTATCTTTTTACTAAGCCACACATAACAGTCCTCAAATTTGGTAGGTCATATAGATATAACACTGAATCCACAAATATTATAGTTCCATTAAAATTTTTTATTAAAACCTTCTTACACTGTCTTGATGTTTCTTCAGTTTGGAAATTTGTTCTCCTTTAATTTCCATTTTCTTGACTAAATGCTCTAGTTCACTTTCTATGCCTTCACAGGCTGAATGGCTCTGAGTTTGCTTCATTTGATTCAAAAGTTCTTGATGCTCCCTATGAAAGAAAAACATGTATCAAACATTGTTATAGTATATGGTATATGTCCTTGCCATAATTAAACAATTTTCTGTTCAACTATAAATTTTAGAGTTAAGTATTAATCTTAAAAGGGCAAAGAACAAGGCTCCAGGAATTGACAGAATACCCATTGAGATGTTTCATCAAACAGATGCCATGCTGGAGGCACTCACTTGCCTATGCCAAGATATTTGGAAGACAGCCACCTGGCCAACTGACTGGAAGAGATTCATATTTGTACCCATTCCAAAGAAAGGGAATCCCACAGAATGTGGAAATTATTGAACAATATCATTAATATCGGGAGCTCTGGTAGCATAGTGGCTAAGGCACTTGCCTGCTAATGAGACGGCTGGTGGTTCAAACCCACCGCCACTCCTTGGAAGGAAGGTTGGGCAACCCTACTTCTGTAGTGATACTGCCTCGGAAACCCAAGGAGGGATCGCTCTGAGTCGGGTTTGACTCAACGGCACAAAACAACAACAACAACATCATTAATATCACATGGAAGTAAAATCTTGCTGAAGATAATTAAAAAATGGTTGCAGCAGTATATTGACAGAGAACTTCAAGATGTGCAAGCTGGATTTCCTTCTTTAGATTTTTCTAATAGAGGACTGGAATTGAAGTAGAAGTTGGAATTGATTCGATGGCAACAGTTTTTTTTTTAAAAATTGGTTTGGACATTTACCTCAAGTAGACACATGCCCTGGAGAGAACAAACATGGGAGAAGGAAGGGCTGCTTATGCACAGGGAGATAGCTCAGGGGGCAGGAGAGTATGGAGGGATGGACACTGGGAAGTGGTAACTATAGGGAGGAAGTGGGAGGGGAATTATTGCATTGTGATAAACTGTGGTCAATGACATGAGACAAAGTATATGTGAACTGCTGTAGAGAAAGTGAATTTGCTCTGTAAATCTTCACCCAAATCACAATAAAAAAAAAAAAGAAAAGAAAAAGAAAAAAATTTAAAAAAAAATTGGTTTGGAATTAAATCTCCAAGTGCAGTGGTGGCACAGTGGTAGAACTCTTGCCTTCTGTGTGGGAGACCCAGGTTCGATTCCCAGCCAATGCAGCTCATATGTCAGGGGAGGCTTACAAACTGCTATGAAGCTGGCCAGGTTTCAGCAGAGCTTCCAAGCTAAAATGGACTAGGAAGAAAGGCTGGGTGATCTATTTCCAAAACCCAGTCTATGAAAACTATATGGATTCAGAGGTCTGATCCACAATGGATCATGGGATGGTAAAGGAGCAAGCAGCCTTTCACTCAGCAGTGTGTGACTTCAACATAAGGTAGGAGCCAACTCAATGGCAGCTACCACGGCACTAATTCTATGGTAAATATAACCCGACTCTTGTGATTTGAAGGTCAGATACATTTAGAAATATCTTAGACTTTGTTGTTGTATTTTTAGTTGCTGTTCAGTTGATTCCAACTCACGGCGACCAAATGTGTGTAAAGCAGAACTGCTCCAGAGCGCTCTCAAGGCTGTGGCCCACGAGAACCAAACCGCCAGTTTGTCTCTGAGGTGCCTGTGGGCGGGTTTGAACTGTCAATCATTGGGCTCCCAGGTAAGCATTTAATCATCTGTGCTATCGAGATGTATGCCCTTAAACAGTACTTTTTAAAAATCGGCTTTCTTCCTGTCCCTAGCTAAATGTAAAATGTGCTGATGTCTTTAGCTAGAGGCATTAGGGGGCTCTTTGATTCCAACATTGGAATTCTTGAGGTAGAGAGAGGTAGAATCTTTGGAGGAATTCCACCTGGAGAAGTATTTACCTGAGAAACTCCTGGATTTGTAACTCCTGTTAGTCTCTTCAATGAAGTACTGTCAATAGACCTAGTAATATCTTCTAGAGTGGTCCTAGTTTGACTAGCTGGCCAGCCAAATCACATATGTTCTAGAGAAGCTGATACGTACATACTCAAATTGGAGGCATAACATATGTATCCCATACAGTATCTTATTAATTATGAATGCTTCAAAACTTGTAATGCAGACTATTCAGTCTAAAACAAGGAATTGCCTTCCTATTTGTCTAAACAAATCACTCATTTAACTAAAATATTTTTAAAAATAAAAAAAGGGTAATCTTTCTTCTAAAAGCTTTTAGGATTTATAATCTAAAATCACCAAAACCCAAACCAAACCAAATGCACTGCCGTTGAGTCGGATCTGACTCATAGCGAGCCCTCCTTGGGTTTCCAAGGCGGTATCACAACGGAAGTAGATTGCCCAACCTCCCTTATAGCTACTATCAGTCCAGTGATTGGGAATATAGAAACTTCTTAGATTAGAAAAGTAATAATTACATGTTGTTGTTAGGTGCCATCGACTTGGTTTGTATTCCCAATGACCCTTTGTACAACAGAACAAAACACTGCCTGGTCCTGTGCCATCTTGATAATTGTTGCCATGTCTGAGCACATTTTTTGCAGCCACTGTGCCAATCCATCCCCTTGAGGGTATTCCTCTTTTTCACTGACCCCTCTGCTTTACAAACATGATGTCCTTTTCCAGGGACTGGTCCCTCTTGATAACACTCCCAAAGTGTGAGATGAAGTCTCTTTGTACCTGCTTTGAAGGAGCAATCTGCATGTACTTCTTCCAAGATAGAGTTGTTCGTTCTTCTGGCAGTCAATGGTATATTTAATATTCTCACCAACGACATAATTCAAATGTATCAATTCTTTTTTGGTGTTCCTTATTCATTGTCCAGCTTTTGTGTGCATAGGCAAAAACTATATCAAACTCACTGCTGTCAAGTTGTTTCCGACTCATAGTGACCCTTCCTTGGGTTTCTGAGGCGGTATCTCCACGGAAGTAGATTGCCCAGTCTTCCTTCCAAGGAGTGGCTGGTGGGTTTGAACTGCCAGCCTTCTGGTTAGCAGTCAAATGCCTTAGGCACTAGCCACCAGAGCTCCTCTGTGTGCATATGAGGTGATAGAAAATACCATGGCTAGAGTCAGGCACACGCCTTAGTCCTCAAGGTGACATCTTGGCTTTTTAACACTTTCAAGAGGTCATTTGCTGCAGATTTCCCAACACAATATATTGTTTGATTTTTTGACTGCTGCTTCCATGGGTGTTTATTGTAGATCCAAGTAAAAAGAAATCCAAGAAAACTTCAACATTTTTCCATTTATCATGATGCTGTTTATTATTCCCGTTGTGAGGACTTTTGTCTTATGCTGAGGTATAATCTATACCGAAGGCTGATTATGATTTATAATCTAATCTTTGATCTTCATCAGTAAGGACTTCAAGTATTCTTCACCCTTCACTCTCAGCAAGCAGGGCTGTGTCATCTGCATATGGCAGGTTGTTAATGAGTCTTCTTCCAATCCTGATACCACGTTCTTCTTCATATAGTCCAGCTTCTCACATTATTGGGAGCTCTGGTGGTGCAGTGCCTAAAGCATCTGACTGCTAACCAGAAGGCTGGCAGTTCAAACCCGCTAGCCACTCCTCAGAAGGAACACTAGGCAATATACTTCCGTAGTGATACTGCCTTGGAAAACCAAGGAGGAGTCGCTATGAGTCAGATCTGACTCAACAGCAGTGAATTTGTTTTTTTGGTTTCTGGTTTCTCACATTATTTGTTGAGCATATAGATTGCTTGAATAATTTCTCTTAGAAAGATCAGCACAAGGTTGGTCCCTATGAGGTGGAGGTTAAAGATGTCCCAAATGTTCACTTTTTCCAAACTGCCATGCCACTCCATCATCTGTGACATCAATTCCTCCTCCTCCCCTCAATAATCTCCCTTCCATCTTAGGGTTCCGTAGTTGGTGGCAACGTCTCACTGAACTCACAAACTCGCAAGGAAATGGCTCACGTGGTGGTAATGGAGGCTTGGAGACTGGCAGTCTGGCATGTCCCAGGCCTGTGGGTAGGTCTGGAGAATTCTCCCAACTCATGTGGTTGCAGGGATTGGTGAACCCAAATTGGCTCAAGTCCAGGGGTGAGATGATGACAAACCAAATGCAGAACCGGAGCAAGAGAGAAAACTTTCCCAGAACATTGACATATATACCCTCAAAGAAGCTAAGCGTGGTGACTTGAGTCACATCCTCTAGCAGGGAGGCACTCAAGATACATCCTACCCTAAACAGGTGTAGGTATTAGGATTTACAATACATCACAAAATGCAGATGATGACTAGAAGGGCCATATGAAGCAATTCACTGCACTGAAAGATTGAATAAGTATGGTGAAAAGATACAACCCTGGCTTACACCTTCATGATTTTAAATCACCCAACATCTCCTTGTTCTGTTTGAATGACAGCCTCTTGGTCTATGTACAGGTTCCACATGACCACAATGAAGTGTTCCCAATTCTTCCTGTTCTTCCCAATTGTTATTCATATATATTTTTTATGATCCACATAGTTGAATGCCTTTGTGTGGTCAATAAAACAAAGGTAAACATCTTTCTAGTATTCTCTGCTTTCGGTCAAAATCCATCTACCACTGGCTATTATATCCCTCACTCCACATGCTTTTCTCAATCTGGCTTGAATTGCTGGAAGTTTCCTGTTGATGAACTGCTGCAACCATTTTTTTAATGATCTTTACTTGCATGTGATATTAATGGTATTGTTTGATAATTTCCACATTTTGTTGGATCACCTTTCTTTGGGATGGGCACAAATATGGATGGATTTCTTCCAGTTGGTTGATCAGATAGCTGTCTTCCAAATTTTTCGGCACAGACAAGTCAACACTTCCAGTGGTCCATCTGTTTGTTGAAACATCTCAATTTGTATTTCATCAATTCCTGGAGCATTGTTTCTCCCTAATGCCTTCACTGTAGCTTGGACTTCTTCAATGCCATTGGTTCTTGGTCATATGCTATGTCCTGAAAAGGTCAGATAGCAACCAGTTCTTTTTGGTACACTGTCACTGTGTACTCCTTCCATCTCTGTTTGATGCTTCCTGCATTGTTTAGTATTTTGCCCATAGAATCCTTCAATATTGCAACTCAAGGCTTGAATGTTTTCTTCAGTTCTTTCAATTGGAAAAATGCCAACTGTGTTCTTACCTATGGGTTTTCTAACTCCAGGTTTTTGCACATTTCATTGTAATACTTTTGCCTTTTTGAGCTACCCTTTCAAATCTTCTGTTTGGCTCTTTTACCACATTAATTTCTTCTACTCACTTTAACTACTCTATATGCAAGAATAAGTTTCAGAATGTCTCTTCTGATATCCATTTTGTCTTTTTCTTCCTTGTTTATTTTTTTAGTGACCTTTTGCTTTATTTATGATGTACTTGATGTCATCCCACAACTTGTCCAGTCTTTGGTCATGAGTGTCAAAACGATTTTTGAGTTGCTCTTTAAATTTGGCCTTGGTGACAGAAATAATGCTGGAACTCGTATGGTAGAATTTTGCAAGACCAACGACTTGTTCATTGCAAACACCTTTTTTTCAACAACA